CAGACGCGTGCGCTTTTATTTACGAACATTTTTCAATTTTTAATAAATTATACAATTAAAAATATGATTTTAAATTTACATACACGTTTTTACGCGCATACACAAACACATATATACAACACACACACATATATGTACATACATATACATACGTACATACATATGTTTAATGCGACCCGGGTACGCCAAGTTTTCACTTTGCTTTGGTGTAAGTTTGTTTTATGCAACTTAGAGTTTATGAGAAATTTTCCTTCAATAAATATATCCCAAAGCGTTAGATGTGTGTATATTGTGCATTTAATTAATTATAAAATAATTCTATTTTAGCTATACGCCCTACTACTTTAATTATATTGCGATTTATTAAATATATTTTTTCTTAATAACGGAAATAATAAAATGAAAAAAATTTATAACAAATTTTTATTCAGTTGGCATAATTTTTTGATATCATTATTTTTCTAGGAAATTAAAACAACTACTTTGTATAACAGTTTTTTTAGTTAAAATGTTTTTATTTAAATAATAATAAAAGAAATAAATTTTATAGTATAAATTTTTATTCGTTTGGCGCAATTTTTTGATATCATTATTTTTCTAGGAAATTTTTTTTATAAATACTTATAACAGTTTTTTACAACTAACGCATGTACTTGGCGCCTTTTTTTCCTTTTTTTTAAAATATGATAACCGAAAGCGTCACTCATACACACGGATCGCGTATGTATATGTATCACCTGAAGCGCGAAGGAGATCAAGCAGGGGAGGAACAAAAAGTGGGAGGCATTCCGATGTTGCATCTGTTACGTCCTGGCGACTCCACGATTCCTTTCTTTCGCGACGTTGCGGTAACGATCGTTAGTTGGTGATAAGAACGAACTGTTCAATAAACAAAGCATCTTGTGCCATACGTTTCTTTTAAACACTTCCATTTGTCAGTAACTACATCCACGAGTATCCGTGGGAAAGACACAAGGAAATCGGTGATGGAAACCATGCCGGTCTCTTTTCTAATCAGATCATGTGCGCGAGGGTCCCCCGAAAAGGCTAATGTTTAAGGAACTTCTGAAATAATATCGAACTCACCAACCGACGATCAGCACGGGTAAAAATACGAAAATAGGAGACACCCCCTGCCGAATGAGGACACTGGCACGATTCTAATTCGTTAAAATCTTGAAGAATCCCTACTTTTGCATAATTTCAATTCGTTAAAGTTTTTGAAAGATCCCACTCTTAAAATTAGAAGACGCCCTCAAAAAGTTTTTATAAAAGAAAGAACTCGTAAGGCTAGGCAATTCAATTGATTTATTCAGTCATTTCTGTCAACTTCAATCAGTGCCGGGCAATTAGTCTCGTGTGCGCGCATTAAGTATTTTTATTCCCGCAATAAATAACGTTGTTACCGTTTCCATAGTGAGAAACAGGTCGCGAAAAGATTACGAATTCCAATCCGCTACCGCAAAGGTCCGTTCCGCGAGTCAGAAGACGCGAACTTCTGTAGACTCCTCCTAATATTCCTACACACTCTCCCTCACACAAATATGTTTTATTTTCTTTTTTCTAACAGATATTTTGTAATAACCAGTCAGAAATTCAATATTAATAATAGAATCTTGCCTCATTATTCTGACTGATGTCCTCCGTACGATTGTAAGAACTGCGAACAACCAAACACACACTCACACACACACACACACACCCATACGCATATTAAAATAACTATTGTTCTCATCATTTTGATATAATGTATACCAAAGTAGTTTAATTTATTATGAATAAATTTATATTCTAAATTAAATCCAATATTTATTAACTCCTCTCATTCTCCAGTCAAAAGATCGCACCTGGTCCCATCCCGCGTAATAGAGATTAAATTCTTTTACCAAAAAGGAACCGCGTCCTTATCGCAAGTCATATGGTCGAGAGAGAAAACAATGCAAGACGTGATGTTAATTAATGGTGTCCTATATCTGTCTCACTTACTCCAATTGAATGCAGGGAGTGCGAGTGAGACAGTTATAGAACACCGCACTGGCTGGACACCGCTTTTGGCTGTCATACACGTATACAGCTAGCCGCCTAGGGACATCATTCCTGTCCTTGAGTGTACGCAACAAAAAAATTAATATTTATCTTTAAAAAATAACTTTTAAAAAAATTTTCCCTTAAAAAATAATTTGCCCATAAAAAATAAAAAACTAAAAAATAATTTTCCTGTAAAAAATAACTAAAAAATAAAAACTAAATATGAAACCAATAGTTAACTAGCTAAATACTTATGTTAGAAGCAATTCAGTTTGTGACAATATCTCTAAAAAATAACTTACAAAAAAATTTTTCTCTAAAAAATAAAAAATAAAAACTAAAGATGAAATCAATAGTTAACTAGCCAAGTACATAGAAGCAGTTCAGTTTGTGGGAGTTTATAATTTGAAATAGTATTTGTCATAAAATCAATCTTGCATTTATAGAAATATTATAGATTCTCTCGAGAAAATTAAAATGCATTTTATTTTTATTAAAAGATTACACTATTATGTTCCAAATAAATATTTTATATAATATATAAAATGGCACTATTATATTGCGGATTTTATTACAAATAGTAAATCATAAAATTACTTAACTCTTACTGTATACACAGAAAAATACATACTATATACAAGTAAATATTACTTGTTTCAAGTATTTCAAAAGTTCATATATCCGCAAATCTATCATAAGTTCATCATAAGTATCAAATTTATTCAAAATTCATAAAACTACTTAACCCTTACTGCAATAACGTCGATTACATCGATCACCAATTTCGAATTTAAAAGTGCCCTATGCCAAACTGATCGACTTGTTTTGAAATTAATCATAACCTTTACCAGATAGGCCCGGAATAAAAATGATTAACATTAAAATAACATATAAGAACTTGGCGTGCCCGATCTGAAATAAAAATTTGCAAAAGATTATCAGAAATCATTATCAATATATTAATAAAAATATAGGACCTGGCAACGCTAAGTTTCTATATGTCACTTTAATGTTAATCCTTTTTATCCCGAGCCTATCTGGTAAAGCTTATGATTAATTTTAAAACAGGTCGATCAGTTTGGCACAGGGCACTTTTAAATTCGAAATTGGTGATCAATGTGACCGACGTTATTGCAGTAAGGGTTAAGTAGTTTTATGATTTATTATTTGTAATAAATTCCACAATATAATAGTGCTATTTTATATATTATATAAAATATTCATTTGGGGGAGGGGGAACTAATAGTGTAATCTTTGATAAAAATAAAATTTTAATTTTCTCGAGAGAATCTATAAGATTTCTATAAATGCAAGATTTATTTTATGACAAATACTATTTCATATTACGAACTCTCACAAACTGAACTGCTTCTATGTACTTGGCTAGTTAACTATTGATTTCATCTTTAGTTTTTATTTTTTATTTTTTAGGGGCTTTTTATTTTTTAGGGAAACATTTTTTTATTAGTTATTTTTTAGAGATATTCTCACAAACTGAATTGTTTCTAACATAAATACTTAGCTAGTTAACTATTGATTTCATATTTAATTCTAATTTTTTATTTTTTAGAGGATTTTTATTTTTTAGAGTTATTTTTTACAGGAAAATTATTCTTTAGTTTTTTATTTTTTATGTTTTTCTTTTCTGCAGTGCTTCACTCGAGCAATGCAATCGTTTGTGCATACGGATATATACCTCTATATAGAAACTGAAAATTTGTTTCTCATCAAACTCTGAAACAGGAGTTTTGTCACCGCGTGAGGTCTCCGATATTAATTCGAGTTTGCCGCCATTCCTGC